AGTGGTCAGAGTTCGGAGCTTTTCGTCGGACCCTATGCAAGTCGAGTGTGATGTGCCGCAAGGCTCAGTCCACGTTTGTTTTTGGTGTTTATTAATGACCTTTCACAGGGTATCGCTTCAAACTTCCTAATGTTTGCCGACGATATCAAGAGCTGGCGCAGGATCCAGGCGAACGCCGATCAGCATCTGTTTCAGAATGACCTAGACAAGATGTATTAATGGTCAACCCAAAACTTACTGCATTTCAACGTCAGAAAATGCAAGGTACTTTCCATCCGACATCAGAGCAACTATTCATACCGGCTCAGAACGAATATACTACGACGATCAACCGTCGAACGTCACTTGCGTGCCCTGGTTCTAGATGACTTAGGTTGCTCTATGCAGTCCGAAAAGGCATCAAAGACTGGGAAGCAACACGTCGGACTGTTGCGACGGAGATTCGGACAAATAAATAGCTCCATATTTTCACAAATGCTCAGTGCATATTAGATATGCAATTCAAGCCAAGTATCCACGGCTGAAAGACGACATTAATGCACTGGAGCAGCCACGACGTCGGGCATCTAAGAAACTAATTGGAATTACTAGTCTTTTATACCAGGAGAGGCTGCAGCGATTGGGGGTATTCGGTGGAAACTATCACAGACTACGAGGCGACATGATTATGGCATGCTTGATTCTGCGAGACCCACACCGTGTGTGCCGCCCTTTACTTCAACTCAACAGCAATATAAACCTGAGTTGCAACTCATTGAAACTCGCTATAAAGTATAGCAGTCTGGAATGTCGCAGAAATTTCTTTGCCACTTGTGTCTGTCACCCGTGGAATGTTCGCCCAAAATGGGTCGTCTCTGCACCAAAACTAACAGGATTTAATAGACGGTTGGATGATGCAGTCATGCGCTTACACTTTGTCACTTAGCACTACGTCTCCATCCTACCCCAGGAGTTTACCATGTTACTGCTTGATGTTAAATGCGGGTGCTGTAAATCTAAGCCGATTGCAGGAAAACGGCGGAGCAAACGGTAAGTCCTTATTATCATATTCAAATTACTAACTGTTTTACTATCAGTATTATCCTTACTGTTATGTCGATATCCCCACCAACTATCCAACGGGACTTGTTATACAAGGCTTCTTAACCAGGATAAATTCACTGCTTACTGTTCGAGATCCATTAGAGGATGTTCAAGAAAAGTTGCCTCTGACAAGCTGTGCTAGTTTCTATGAGTCCATTACTTCTTTTGTCCGCAAATATGTGCATTAACTGATCATGAATAGGTTTTTGCTGGCTACTTTTTCTGTAGTAGGTTTTACTAAGTAAAAATGTATTGCCCTATAGTACATTTGCGGTACAGCCGTCATGAGGCTGTCACAGGGCGTTGCACGCTTTGACATGTACTTCACACCCTCCTGTTGCACGTTCTGCACTTCATCAGTTTCCAGGTTAACACATTGTGAAAGCGTTATCGAGAGATTAATTAAGGGCCCTGGGAGTATCAATCTAGCTCTTCAACACTTTTACCACCCAATAGAGCAGGTAGGATTTTTCTATTGATCCTAGCTATGGTGTACAATGCTGTGGTGATGCCAATTATATGCAGGGACGTTAAGTTTGTTTGCGCTGAGTACCCCTTATTACTGATACTCTATACAGGCTATGTTTTTCATCAAGTTAAGCTACCGAAATACAGACAGAGAAGTTCACTGTATGTAGTTTGGCAGTAAATATTCTGATGCGCAATAGCTGTGGCGCTGCACATTCCGCATTCTAAGCAGCCAACGTTCTGCGAGTGTTACGAATATTGATGTCCTTAGTTGCGTGCATACTAGGGATAACTACAAAACGCTAAATCAAGTCCAAAAGCTTAAAACGGATTTATTGTGAACTTATTCCGGAGGTGGTTATAATTACCGACGGCAGATTTCTTCAGGTATTCTTTCCCAACTAGTTCGATGGTCAATTCAGCGGTACCCATGTTTTCAAGCCACCGTCTGTTGTCCCTCATTCATCTTCATCACCAGTCTTTTGTGTTATCATCGTCGTTTAAATGAAAACCAATACAACTGGGTCGAGTACATATCAGTGGTTGAATCGTATTTGATTAATATTGTTGGATATTTGACTTAAACATCACCCATGGTCATAATTCGGATGTTTGACTATTGATAAATGGTGAAAATGCAGATAAGTATCAATACCATTTGCAGCTTCATGTTTCATGCTGACAGCAATCGCATGTTCGCGATCGAAGGTACACTTAGAAAACTTTAACAAGATATATTGTCCTATACTTCTACTCACGAAGCCGGCCCATAATTTGTGGAGTGTATTCGATGTCGCGATCTACTAATCCTGTCTTCTAATTCCTTATAGCTAAATGTCACATTCGTCGTAGTCAAGATCTGTCAACTTAGTATTGCTATATAACCTACCACAGTATGGCTAGTGAATAAAGACATGAAATAGTGGTATCTTGCTTTTTCGACTACTGGAGAGCAGCAATTGCCAAGTGGTCTTTTAAATCTTGGCGGATTACTAGACTAATTTGACGATGATTCCCCCAAGCGATCTTTGCTGATTGCTTCTGTGAATCGGGATGTATTAAGACCTGTTGGAAGGTCAGAACTTACAGCTATAACATCGATATTCCAGTGGACTTACAGACAACAAAAAGTACCAGTCAGAGTGCGACCAATATGTGAAGGTAATATGTAAAGTTATTGTTATAGGCTAAAGATGCCATGTCGGGCAGAATAGCCAAATACGCCAGGAAGCACATGTCTACCAGCTACTCACGAATAGGTTATTGACCTTAGACCTCACAACTAGATAGGTTCCACGCCTAATCATATTTGTCAAACATGCAAGCATCGTGAAGTGGTCATATATTTTTCATGCTTCAGACCCAAGTAGGTAGAATCTAATTTACTTCGTCGATGCTTCAAGCCTTATGTTCTCATACAGGGCGAAGTGGTTTGATTCTGGTTACAGATTCGTGTGTGACATCATTGGTACTAGTTTGGTATCAAACATTTCTCGTAAGGACTGATTTATTGAGCAGCGACCATTTGGGTTTTCTGGGACAAATGATTTTCCAAGCAGCACCGTTCTAGGCTTAGTGATGACTATTCGAGTATACAAGCATGATTCCCTTGGAGTGAGAAACTGCAGCGAGCTGAGCTGTGCCACCGAATCCCGAGTGGACTTAATAGTGTTCATTGCTCTTTCAATGTGTGTCCTGGTCACCTTTAATCCAGTTGCAACACAGGAGCTCTGGTTATTCTCAGAGAGGGTATCTACATTAGTCACAGTGGAAAACCCAGTCGATTGCTGGTGGGAGATAATGTAAGTAGGTAATCGATTTCAACCGCCATGTGGCTAAAGAAGTGTCCCTTGCCATAGCGCATTAAACAGATGAGACACCGAAACCTGTTCATGACGTAGGGAGCATAATTTGAGTCTGGCTGTTGACTGACTTACAAAGTTCAGCATCTCCTTTAGGTGTCTGACGGTTGCACACGGGAACCATATACTAGAAAAACTGCACGTATATTAACCTCTTAAGTCCGTATCCTTCTTCTAGAATCCCATATGTTCTTGTTTAGCTGATTGGAATCCCGCCCCTTAGCAAGTGATAAATTTTTCCCAAGCATTCTGCGGTAGTTTTATTATAAAACAAAATTAAACATGCCAATTGTTTCTCCCTGAATTCTCTAAGTGTAAGCTCTGGAATTGCTACCTCGCACTTGCAAATACTGCAACGAGCTCCTGTAAACAACCTTCGTTGTCACCTACTGAACAATATCCTACCTAGGCGGTATGTTACCAAGCTAAATGAGTGTTGTTGTTCTTGAGAGTAAATAAACAGCAGTACATAAGTGCAATTAAAATAGCCGTCAACCTGGATGTGCTGAGCATTTGTATAAGTCGTTGTCCGTAAGTAACCTGTAGCGTTTGCATCTCCTGTTAAGCTCCTGTGAGTTACGAAAACAAGGCTTCAGTTGGGACATTTGTGGAAATTTCAACGTCATAGTTTAAGCCCTACTGGAAGAGAATTCCCTATAATCCAGTATTCAACGGATTAATGCTTCACAGGGAGAAAATAACAGCTCAAGCAAGTGATTAGTCCAACCTTTGAACATGTAGACCAGGTAAGTAAGAAATCAGAGAGCTTCCGATACTATTGGCACGATTCCACTGATGTACCCTCAAGCAGGAGGAGACCATGTTACCGCTGAGTTGATGACGATGAATTTAGGCAACCACTGCGCATTTCAAAGATAAAGCCAAATTTCAACCGGAAGAAACCGATCGATGAGATGGAAATGCCAGAAATACCTCAGGGAACTTAGGCAGAAGTGAATGCACAGAAGCGGTTAACGATTGCTTTCCATTCCTCGAAACAACGCATATGTGGTGATGTTTTCCGTGCTTTTGTCTGCCCTGTAAGAGAGGAGCATTGCAACAACGTCAATCTTCTTTGGGTCTCGGCGATGTGGGGATCGAAATAAGTCACTGTTTTAGATGAAATATCATGGGCATTAGGAAACTTGCGTCAACGGTGCAATTGGTTAAGCCGCTTAAATTAAGTACGATGTACGTCCACGGTCATGTTAGCAGTTATGTTTAAGGCGTCAGCGACACTACGTAATGCCCTTGGTTTGTGTGAAGCAGGAACGAAAGCCGTTTATTTGGCGACTAATTGAAAAGTAGATGACATATTAACTCAGTGCTCAGGCCCTTTGGTTAAGTCCACGAGAATATGTAGATATTATTCATAATAGTACCAAGTGCCGACAACGCGGCTTTACAAGATCTAATATTCCATAACAGACTTTACATCAGCGGCAAGCATGTAACGCGGAGCTAGAAACTACACTATTCCTAACAAAGTATTTTGATGAACAGCATTTTTCATACCACTTATTTTTTGCTGACAGCAGTACTTTTTAGCCAGAAGCGTTGTAATATGTGTAATCAAGTTCAACTCACCGCAACTCTGACAGACAAAATGCTGTAAGACGGGTTTTTGGACTAACAGAGACTTTCTTTACTTAGTTCCAGTGCCCCGGGTTCCCAGTGGACGTCAACTTGTGGCCAACCCTCCGGAATTCATTCGGGCTTTAGCCAACCCTTTGATCATCCGATATATTCACATGAGAGCAGCAGCTGTATTTATATTGGCTATCACTCTGCATGCAGTGGACTGTTCTGATTGGTCAAAATATTCGTAGATTCGTCTTAGCAATTAAAATCTGGTGTTACGCCAACTGGCACAAGGCTCCCATCAGCGATAGGCCAATAAATATGCAGGTAATATGATTATGAGAGAATTAAAATCCAGAACTCACTTTTAGTCTACCTGGGATCGTGTTGACAGTTGCACGCACGGAACCAACGAAAGCATCGAGATTAACCACAACCAGTGGATTGGACTGGTCCTCGTAGAAAACAAGTAGGAGCCTTACTGATTATCCGTTTGTGAACGGGAAAAATAACACTGGGCTTCATACCGAGCAATTCATCTATTGGTATTTATTGTTTAAGCCACAATGACCGCTCATCGGAATAAAGGATGGTTCATAATACTCAGGCTGAGCATAGAAGTAAACAATTTTGGTTTTCAACGTACAATCATTAGATCTAAAACGCTTGTCTGCGCTTTACAGCTTGTCCTTAATTAATTAACGCTCCATTCGGTTCATCATTAAATAACTGAGTGAAGCTAAGAACGATTGAGTTAGACTTTCACTTACTTATGAATGGAAGGATTTTGATGACTTTCACTGTCTAAATCGTAATCCACCTGAAGGTTTTGGTACTTCAATCTCATCCATAAAATTTACTATGCCTTCTCGAGCGACAGTGTACTTACATATTTGTCTAGCGACACTATCTAATGATTTCTTACTGAAGATTCCTGCCTTGGCGATGTACCAGTATTTTGATGTTAGTGTGCAAATCATAAGTTTCAGAGAATCCGTTTGAAACGCTTACGGACAACTTATGCATGTCTCTTGATGGAAATCCATCAAGATCTTGGGGCAGACTTAGCTCAGAGAGTGCATCTTATGGAACAGATCTCAAAAATTTCAAGATGGTTCGACCTGCACAATTCAGTTTCCATCTCCCGGAATTACCATCGCAACCAGCAGTTCATAATTTGAGGATGAATAAAATCCCTTGTTCAAATGATTCCGAACCAGCCTTCAGTTACCATACCGCCCAGTTAGTCGTCGCTAACTTCACAAACATGAGATTCCACAAAGGTCTGCTTTTCCCACCCGATGGATAAAAACCTCGATGAACCACTTTGGTGTCAACTGAGCCGGTGCCAAGATGTACTAGTCGGTCACCTAAGACTGACGACAGCTGTCTCCAGGTTTCCCTGTTACCGTGAGTATGAACGGCGGAAAGACAGTTGTGCCTAGGGCTAGGTCATCGTCGCACCACTCGCAGTTTCACCTACCATTAGAGACCAAAAAGAACAAGATAAGTATAATTAAACCAATTAATACCTTCTCGACTAAGCGGGACACGCTTCAGCACACCTGGACCGATCATAGTTCACACAATGGTTTCACAAAAGTTGTTGCAAATTGTTTCCTGTCTTGCAGACATTGTCACGTACAGCGATGCTTCTTTAAGCGAATTTCGCCAAAAGACACAAATCGCTGCGTTAAAGTTTTCGGCCAAATGGCAATTCTAAGACAGTGAGTGTAAACGGAGTAACATGTTGAAGAGGACAGGAATATCAAATGATTTGACGACAACAGAGGCGACGGAGATGCTCTACGAATTAAAGTTTGATTAATGAAAAATACGCTTTGATAGAAATATGCACTAAAATAATTCCCACTTATATACAAATTGGAAAATGAGCTTAAAGTTACTGAAAAGTGGTAATGCGGAATCCCGATAGCGGACCTCAGTGACTGAAAAAGCTGAAGGCTAGGGTAAAGATGTCCAATATTTACACTGTCAAATGGCACGTACTTCGGCCACGGACTACGGTAGTTTAACAGTAAACGTTAAGGTGAGTTGAAAAGATGAAGACTAAGACCATGTTGTCCGATCTTCCAACGAGTTAACATTTATACTAGCCAATAGTAACTGTAGCAGGAAAGTACGATTAATGGTCAGGACGTCAGGCATGCAACACGGTTTTCACTGACCTAAGAGTGAGGCAGGCGGTTGCTCTACAGACGTATAGAGACCGGCGGATGGGTCACGACCTTGTTCGAAATGGTGCCACATTTCGATCACAAAACATTAGGTAGGTAAGTAGATTTCTGGATTGCTTGATCGAGGTGGTGGTATCAGACACGTACGCAATTCATCACCACGCATCTAGTGCAATGAAACCTAGCCAGCCATCAGGAGATTAACATTATGCATGCTTTAGTCATACATGTGTCAGTAATACACACGTTTTCTATTAGAGCAACTTATGAAAAGTCAGCTTCCCCGCAAATGAGTCAGCACCACCACAGGGAGCAGTATAGTTAGCCAATGCGTCTACTTGCATGGTTTAAATTACACCAGTGTAACTTTATCTGCACCAGAACCCCAGAAGTGCAACAGATGAACCTAATAAACGGCAGGCCGACAATATATGTCACGTGAGATTGGTCGAGGCTGCACAGTAGTCAGATACACAAACATCATAGTGTGTTTGAGCACGATACACAACTACCAGCTGCCGCTCTGCCAAAGTACTTCAAACAACCAGTTGTCTCTTTTCCGGTTGTTAGCCCAAAACCCGGCTTGTCTAATGCAAATCCAGTCCCATATAATGCGGCGTCAGTGCATATGCAGATCAACATCTGTCCCCCTCAGGTGGTGGAAATCCTGCGGTTTACCGTGCGACACCATCCCACATTTGTTGGGATAATCATGCCTAATTTTTTTGCTTTTATATAATGCTCAATCTGTTTCAACAAGTAAGACATGTTCAGCTGTTCATTGTTTTGACCACCTTGATAAATAGGTTGCATACATTTCGCCAACAAACGAGATGGCATCGTCAGTGCAGTAATGTTTATTGGGCAAGCTTGGTGGTTGGGTTATCCGTCCGTGATCGACGGGCAGATGATTTTGAAAATGACCACGTAGTCACGTAGTCAATGCGCATTTCCTTGTGGTTAAATAGCCTACTCCAACGGTTCCTGGAGTAGCCTGTTTTGAACATGGGCTCTCGGCTTAGCGGAGAGTTTTCTGTATATGAAAGTGATGTCACTGTGCATGTTAATAGAAGAATCGGGTGAAAAGTAAGTTTTTAAAATCAAATAAATTTTAGTTTCTCCGCATGATCTTGTTGTGATAACAAAGTGTGAACAAACATGTACCAAAATACAACACGCTTGTCATAACAGTGAATGTGTGTATGGACATGTTTGCAATCGTGCATACTTGTAGTAGATTATGTTTGTAGGTGCGCCGTTGTATTTGTGACCTGACAGCGTCGGCTATTTAAGAATAGACGATTGATGTCCAGATATCCACCGAGCAGTGACCGTAGTTTGTGGCGAATTATATTCACCTACATTTTCCTCTTTGTCTAGGCACGTACTCAGTCTGAAACTGAGACTATATTTAAGAGCAAGTAGAAAGGTTTCTGTACAACTTTATCGAATTACGAAAAAGCAAAAACATTTAGTTGTGAATCATCAGCAGTTGTGTCTGGTCCGTTAATTGTTTATCCTTGTTCGGTTAGGAATTTTTATTGGTGTCATTATTTCCGGGATTACGATGTCTTCTTTTGGTTATGTATGTGCTTCGTTTCACAAAAGCAGAGGTTTCCAAAATAATCGTCGATACGGGTTTTAAAACACTTCACAGAATCGACCTCTATTAACTCTTCAGGTAGTACATACCATAAGTTTACGATCCTTCGTTCGATACAAAGCTGATATGATACTTTGTTCCTGCAGGGGACCCTGAGTTTGTAACTGTATCCTCGGGTGTTACAGGGTTCCCGCAGGTGAAATATTGGCCGCAGGATGGGAAGTGATTCAAGTGTATACTCGATGGGTCCTAATAAGTTCAAATCTTACTCGGCGATAAGATAGTGTCTAGAGTCTGAGCCTTTCACAACGATTGTCATACGGAGGCTTTCGTAGACTCGGTATCATTCTAGTTGCGATATGCTGTATTTTCTCCAGCTTTTCAGTTTCCCACTGGGTTATCGGATGTTAAGCTGGGACGCCGTATACAACGATTGGTTTAATAAGCGATGTGAATAGCCGAGAGACGGTTTCTTCGGAAAGTGGAGAAAATGCGTCGTTATGCCCAGAGCATATGAAGTCCCGCACCGTAAATTTTATCTGTATTTTCTAGTGATCTCATATCACGTCGCGAGAGCACTCCTAAGTCTCTGAAAGATGTGTATGGGTGCAGCAACTGGCCGTCCAAGGTGTATGATCCAGTGGTTGGACGTCTGGTGATACCGATGAACTCCGACTTGCTCGCGTTAAGAGGGAGTTGCATTTCAGTGGACCACGTTGACAGTCGCTCTAGGTCACGCGGGAGGCGAGTGCAGTCGTGCTGGTTCTCAGTGATCCTCCAAATGTTCAAATCATCTTCAACCAGGTCACATGGTGACTGGAGCTGCTGCGGGAGATGATTTATAAGAATAAGAAAAATTACTGGCCCAAGTACAGTTCCTTGAGGCACGCCCGTGGTCGATGGAAGGCAGTCTCTCAGGTAGTCATTGACCTGTACTCTAAACCTTCGTCCCATAATAAACTCGTGTAATCAGTGAAGTAACATGCCACCGATTCCCTATGTCCTCAGTTTATGAAGGAGTACCTTGTGGTTCATTCTGTCAAACACCATACCAAAGTCGATGTACACCACGCAACCATCATTCTGTTCATTGAGAGCTCGTACCCATTGGTGGTTTGCGTACATCAAGTTGGTGATGCATGATCGCCCTTTCGTAAAGCCGTGTTCCGCTGGCGTCAATACGTCCATCGATTCGAAGAACGACAGCAGAAACGTTTTCACAACCTTCTCGAGAACTGCGGATACTACCGAACAGATCGGTCTAAAATTCTCTATTTTACTCGGATCACCACCCTTGGGAAGCGCTCTCACCATTAAACATTTCCTGTCGTTGGGGCAGAACCTTCAGAGACTGATTAATTGAAC